CTCTTCGTCTTTACGTGCCATGCCCCTTTTTGATATAAGCGATTATAACTCTCCACAACTTCCTATCTTTTGTAGCTCTTAGCAATATGGCATCTGATGATCTCTGCCAGTACTTAATATTTTGCTCAGCTATTAAAAAGCATCTTTCGCTATTCCAGTGCGCATTCGGAATTTGATCTTACACTCTCCGCCCTCTGTTAAAACACTTTCCAGATATTTTCTTGATTGTATGGTGGAGTAATAGACAGCGACTCGGATTGAGGAATCGGAGAGCCGAGTTCGAATTCCAGTCGAATCTATTACATTTACCTACGTGCTAATACACTTGGGAAAGGTATGAATCCTTTTCTTCTAAATAGCAGGACAGACAGGGTTCTGTAGCCGTGGATGGCAATTGGTCTACAGCAGAAAGAAATGGTAAACTACTGCGGGAAAAGAAAACTTCCTCGTCAGTCATGTAGCGAAAGATACATGATCGCCTAAGCGTGTATCACGCATGACACATAACTGACTTGCTTAATATCTGTCTATATTTCTGAGATGAGGTATTATGTACATTATTTACATTATTCGAACTATTGTCCTCATCTTTGTCGCCATATTTATTACAACGTTTCAGCCGTTGTAGCTCCGGCCTTCTTCAGGTGGTTGGAATGTCGAACCAACTGAAGAAGGCCGGAGCCTACAACGGCCGAAACGTTGTAATAAATATGGCGACAAAGATGAGGACAATAGTCCGAATAATGTAAATAATGTGACTTGCTTAATTTTGGTATCTTCAAATTGTAATTTTGGGCTTTTGATGATGACCATACACTATATTTTCTTGGGATGATGTTTCCTCCTTTCTTTTCGCATTCCTTCACCAACATCTCTAGGAGTTCTCTATCTGCGCCCACTATCAACACTATCAAACTCCGTTTATATTAGTGATGTTTAGAGTTTTATCTGTTTAAGTATGCATGAAAGGTAAAGGGATAGCCGTTGACAATGTACGTTATTGTTCCGAACGATATGTTTTTCTAGCTTGTATTATTCACAACGTTTCTTTTGTTGAAGGCCCTGGTCCTCTTCAATAGTAGCACCTCCTCCTTCCGTTTTTTCATGCTTAGAGATTACTTATCGCTTACTGCTCACCAGTTTTATTCACCTTTATGTTGCTTGTTTCGTTGTGTCTACCGAACCAAAGAAAATAGCTTTTCAACATTACCAGACTCGGGAACGGGTTTCCTGTCAAGTAACCAGATATTTTTTAAACCAATGAATCCACTTGGTTTTGTGTCGGTCATTGGTGAAAAGATTGGAACCTTTAACCTAATGACAGTATTCAGGTGGTAGAATTCAACATTACGATATGGTTATCGAATACATTAAGAAAAAAATACATGAAGAAGGCAGGAGAATAACCCTGCCGAAATTTTGTAAATATATCAACAAAGAGGAGAAGGCTGTTTCAAAGAATACGGTATATAATCATAATAATTCCATTTTTTTTTTAAATTAAGATAACATTATTTTTATTACTATTGTTTTTATTATTATTTGTCGTTTATTGTTAGTTATTGTTTGTCATATTTTCTTACTATTGCTTTTTTTGTTTTTTTAATATCATTTTTTAGCATTTAAGTTTTTTGTATCAGCACGAGTTTTGATAGGAGAAGAGATATGTTCCATGTGCTTGGATGTGAATTTACCGTAGGATACTCTGAAATTAGGACACTTTCAATATATTTTCGTCGTGATAAAATATATCTGTAAATGTTGGCTTCTTTTTTAGATCTAGTACACTTTACTAGCTTCATAAGGTTCGAAAATTACGACGATGGTACAACGCCAAATGACCAGCTAAGAGTGTTAAATTTGACCTCGTAGTGACCCACTAAGTTTATATATATATATATATATATATATATATATATATATATATATATATATATATATATATATATATATTTTTTTAAGCATTTCACCCCAAGCAAGGCGGGAAGCCACTAGGACGCAAGGGGGTTACAGAAAATTTAGAGCAAGATCAGATAGGAGTGATAGGAAGAAAGGATGAGGGTAGTGGATAGATCAAGGCAACTGGAGATGTCGATTGACATTACACTTGAATAGCTGGAGATTATAGCTCACAGGGAAACAGGAGAAGGGAAGGGAGTTCCACAGGCGAGAGGTGCGAGACATGAAGCTATTAGAGTAGAAGAGACGGCTACATTTAGGAGTTTCGACAAAAAGGTATAGCAGATTTAGAAAATATAATAAAAACAAATGCTAAGAGATAGAAACACATTCAACACATTACTGTCCTGGGTATGACGATAAACTACATCCGGCAGCAAGGCCTCTGATTAGGAGGTTTTGAGGAGCGTGGAACTATGTCTTAATTGCTGATGTTCCCAGGTCCACCCAGACCCGTGATGGTAGCACCTGTTAGAGCCCCAGCTATGTGCAAATAGTTAACCCCCAAACTGGGGTCAAAACATTATGAAAGTGTAATAATATGTTTTTTATCGTGAAAATACTAGCAAAACATTATTGAAAAAAAATATTACCAGCAATGCATTTTTGGAAAAACAGATTTTAGCGGCAATACATTTTTGGAAAAACAGATTTTAGCGGCAATACATTTTTGGAAAAACAGATTTTAGCGGCAATACATTTTTAGTAAAAAATATTACCAACAATGCATTTTTGGAAAAACAGATTTACCGGCAATACATTTTTGGAAAAAAATATTACCAGCAATACATTTTTGGAAAAACAGATTTTAGCGGCAATACATTTTTAGTAAAAAATATTACCAGCAATACATTTTTGGAAAAACAGACCTTACCGGCAATACATTTTTGAAAAAAAATATTACCGGTAATACATTTTTGTGAAAAAAATATTACCAGTAATACATTTTTGGAAAAACAAAATTACTAGCAATATATTTTTGGAAAAAAATATTAAAGCAGTACATTTTGGGGAAAAAATTACCGGCAATACACTTGACTAACAACAAAAAAACCGTCTTTACAAAAAAAGTCAATGAAATCTGATCTACAAACTGATTTCTTACAAAGAATACATATTGTATTCATACAATCCCCTCCTAGAAATTCTGTTGACATTAAATAACCCACTGAGGTGTTGATATGCCGTAAAACAAAATAAACCAAACACATTACTGGATCGGAAAATGTTCAACGTTTATTATTTTAAGTTTGTTCAACTTGTATGCACTCAACCTGAGCACCATGTGTTGCACAACAAACATCAAAAAGGTATTCCACTTCTTGTCACACCCGAATCAATTGATCTTTGGATATTAACTTCAAAGATTCAACAATTCGATACCTCAAAAGAAGCATTTAAACAAGACTTTTCATTTATTTTAATAACTTTGAAGTTTTTCCTATCCACTAATGTGCTGAACGTGTTTCTGTCTTTTAGCATATCTTTTTATTAAATTTTCGAAATCTGCTCTTACCTTTTTGATAACCCTGGAGCATAATGCATTATGGTACGATAAGTATACTGCATTATATATATATATATATATACTAGCAGTATAACCCGTCTTAGACCGGGTGTTTCATTACCGGCAATTTTTGCCGTTCAGTTGGAGCAGTTTAAATTTAAAATCCCGAAAATCAATTTTAGTAACAACAACTGAGGCACATCCCAAAATGGCAGGGGGGTAACAAAAAGGGCTGTTTTTGCGTTCTCAATATTGCAAGTAACAAAACCTCTTCCATGGACCGTCATAATAATAATAATAATATACGATAATTTTTATTTATAATATAATTTTTTTATATAATTCTAATAATCTTTTGCGTTAGATTTCAACCCTTTAAATTGATTGTACGCTGTTTTTTTTTTGTTGTTTTTTTTTTGTTTTTTTTTTTTTTTTTTTTTTTTTGCAAACATTAAATTTTGCCTTTGATTTTTGCGCAGTGTAAAAAAACAGATTTTTTTTTTTCGATTTTTCACCTTTAAGGTTGTAAATTTTTTCCAGCTAATTTGGACTCAAAACTGGCACTGAAGAATTATCTATTATACAAAAAAAAAAATTCAACGAAATCGGATGAAAACTGTGGAAATGCATAAACAACATCTGATCACACACACACACATACATACACACACATATTTTAAGAATTATAGATATAGATAGATATGTTGTCATTCTATCAAATGCATCACAAGTTTTTGGTGTTTATTATCTTTTATCTGACGGTTATTTGGGGGTCACGTGCACGTCTTTCAAACATTTTTCGACATTTTTTGACTTCAATGTTAATATCATTCATTACGCATGAATTAACCTTCAAGTACGAAGCGCTTGCATCTGCTACGCCGTTGCTTGCATTTCTAAACATACCGATGCCTTCTCGCTTCTTAGACTATTAAATAAACACGAGAACTGAATAAAGTAAAATTGCATTTAGGATCACAATCAAATAAAAAAAAGCATTGTTAAAAAGCGTTAAAATTGATTCCGAAGCATTGCCGAGTCGATTTGTAATCGATGAAGTGTAAACAGTAACAGAATATCCTGGGATTATTTAATGGTTAGCGAACTGGTTGCCAATGTGCCCAAGTAAGGACACAAAAAAAAAATGAATTCCAGTCTTCAAGAAAACCGTTATTTCTTTCGTAATAAAATGAAAAAAAAATGTACAAAGCCTGGAAAAACCTTTATATTTCTGTGAAAACCTGAAAAACTTGTAATCGCGAACAGTTATTTGAAAATATATATCGCTGTTTTAAAATGTATATGACATGGGCGCGTGGCCAAGTGGTTAGAAGGTTCGCTTTCTGACCATGAGACCACGGTTGATGTCTCAGGAAGGAGGCTTTCTGATGTTATCGGCCTGGAGGGGGACGGCCCCAGCGTGCGTTACCTTTGGAAAGTGCCTGAAAACCATACCACGGGTTGATCCAAGCCTTGTGAATGAATTTGGGTAGACGAGACACTTGGGGCCGTCAATAGCTGTGTTAGCACGAAGTCACAAGTCATCGTGACCGAGCGTTTGAGTGTGCTGGTCTTGAAGAAAAAAAAATAAGCAAAATAAAAAGAAGGAAGGAAAAAATAAGCAAAATAAAAAGAAGAAAGAAAAAAATAAGCAAATTAAAAAGAAAAAAATAAGCAAAATAAAAAAGAAGAAAAAAATAAGCAAAATAAAAAGAAGAAAGAAAAAATAAGCAAAATAAAAAGAAGAAAAAAAAAGCAAAATAAAAAAAGAAAAAAAAATAAGCAAAATAAAAAGAAGAAAAAAAAATAAGCAAAATAAAAAAAAAAAAAAAATAAAAAAAATAAAAAAAAATAAGCAAAATAAAAAGAAGAAAGAAAAAATAAGCAAAATAAAAAGAAGAAAAAAATAAGCAAAATAAAAAGAAGAAAAAAATAAGCAAAATAAAAAGAAGAAAGAAAAAATAAGCAAAATAAAAAGAAGAAAAAAATAATCAAAATAAAAAGAAGAAAGAAAAAATAAGCAAAATAAAAAAGAAGAAAGAAAAAATAAGCAAAATAAAAAAGAAGAAAAAAATAAGCAAAATAAAAAGAAAAAAAAAATAAGCAAAATAAAAAGAAAAAAATAAGCATTGTTGAACATTTTAGATAACACGCTCTTTCCCAGAAACTGTAACTAAGGTCTGCTCAGCATAGTTGCCGTATAAACCACAGGTTAGCGCTATGGGTGTTGAACAAACACAAATGCGCCTGAGAGAGAGTTTGCAATATGGATACGAGTGGCCAGCTATTATGACTTGGCTACTCATTTGTATGTTTTCTTTTCCACTATGATATCTATTTATTTTTTTTTAATACTGAAACTATGATAAGCGGATAGTTTGTGCTATGATTAATAATTGAACAAGGTCAATACATTCAGAAATGACTTGTGACTTCATGCTAGCGAGGGCTTTCATCATTCATGGGTATGACGATAAACTACATCCAGCAGCAAGAGAAGTTTTCAGGAGCGCGGAACCACCTCTTAATTTATTAATGACCATTCTCAAAACTATAAAACATACCAAAATATGCCTGCTTGCGAGAATATTTATATTTTATCTAGGGATGTGACCCAGTTATTACCATGTAGCCTCCTGTTTATATATATATATATATATATATATATATATATATATATATATATATATATATATATATTGATTCTTTGCATGTCTCCTTTGAATATTTTGTTTGTTCGTATAGCATATATTGAAATACATTTTTGATGCTCAAAATCCTATATCGCCTGCAGAAATTTCCGATCGCTCACCATTTTCTGTACAGTTATTCATCACCCACCCAACAAGTGAAATCGCCCACTGGTGGTCGATATCGCCCAGGTTGGGAAGTCATGGTCTAGACTGTCTGTGGGTATTCGCATTGCATGAGGACGGGTTAATGTAATCTTGTTCCTCTGGTTCCCAGACGAGCGCTGGCTTTCAACCAACTCTCATATTCTGATAATGCTTATAGGAGAGCTGATAACTTTTATTCTAATGTTTATCTGTCTGTTTTTGTTTTGTTTTGTTTTGTTTTTTCTTGTTTTTTTTTTTTTTTTCAGCATTCTTGCAGCGGAAATTTAAATTTTGATGTTTTATTTTTCTCAGGATCAAGAACTTGGGAGCACAATTGATTGTGGTATTCAGGCCAGTGATGCGGACAGGGGAGACAACTTACGCTTCAGTATTCTTCCAAGAAAAGACTATGTAAGTTGAAATATCATCATTCTGGCTACAAATTATTTATTCTATGTATTTTTTCCCTGCTATTAATTAAACCTATCATATAAGTTTATTAACTCCATTAGATTTTACTACGTGCGCAGCAATAAACTGTAAAGGCAGAAAGATAAACTTTTATAATCAAATGTTTAGTTACAAATTCAAATATATACCTGACCAATGTTTACCTATAGACTCAATTATAAGACCGGTCAATGTTCTGCTATAAACTCAAATATAAACCCTATCAATGTTTACCTATAGACCCAACTATAATCTCAGTCAATTTTCCCCTATAAACTCAAATATAAACCCGACTAATGTTTACCTATAGACCCAACTATAAACACAGTCAATTTTCCCCTATAAACTCAAATATAAATCCTATCAATGTTTACCTATAGACCCAACTATAAACTCGGTCAATGTTCCCCTATAAACTTAAATATAAACCCGATTAATGTTTACCTATAGACCCAACTATAAACTCGGTCAATGTTCCCCTATAAACTTAAATATAAACCCGATTAATGTTTACCTATAGACCCAACTATAAACCCGGTGAATTTTCACCTATAAACTCAAATATAAACCTGATTAATGTTTACCTATAAACCCAACTATAAACCCGGTCAATTTTCACCTATAAACTCAAATATAAACCCGACTAATGTTTACCTATAGACACAACTATAAACTCGGTCAATTATCCCCTATAAACTCAAATATAAACCTGACCAATGTTTACCTGCAGACCCCGCCATAAACCCGATAAATTTTCACCTATAAACTCAAAAATAAAACCCATCAATATTTACCTATAGACACAAATAATCTAATGATACGTCATAAAATCCACCAATCCAAACAGGAAACAGAGGCATACAAGCTTTTACAATCAGTTAGAGGAGCGTATAAGGTGCGAGCTTAGAATTGAATACATCAGCATCAAGCAAGTATAAAAAAATGAATTATCTGAGAACGGCTGTAACAGATTGAGAAAAAGTGTGGCACAGAAATTGCAGGGCACATTGAAATATCGAAAGACAGATTATAAAAGATAAACAAATTACGAAGAGACAAGAAAACTTTGTTAAAAACGTGTAAATTCGTCATGAATTGCTATCTAATATAAATCCTTATACATAGCAGTGAATGCTGGACAATTTCCTCAACGATGAAGAGAAGCTCGGAGGCTACAGAAATCTGATCTTTCAGAAGGATAACGAGAATACCATTTATATATGAGCAACGGGGAAATTTTAAGGAAAAAGGAAACAAAATGGTCATTTTAGATTAGGATCAGAAAAAAAAAAACTTGACACAATCTTGGACATATAATGAGGAAATATGTCATGGAGAATTTGACACTCACAAAACATTTTTAATGCAGGAGGAGCAAACGTAAACATCAAGAGGATAATCCGAATGGGATATTAAGGGATAAACAATGTTTACGGTCACAGAGAATAGGATGTTGTAGTGAGCTATATTTACTCACGAACTGAAAGGTAACGCTTTATAAAGGAAGATTTCGAAATCCAGATTTTTGCATCAAAATTCGATATTCACATTCGGAATTTTTCAGAATAAAATTCGAGATCTACCGAAAGATTTCCAAATCCGATTAAGGTTTTTTTTTTTTTTTTTTTTTACTACCAGAACCATATCACGTTGAAAAACTGGTTACCGTACGATCACCGAAGTTAAGCATCGTTGAATCTGGTCAGTATCGGCTTCGAGTAGTGCAATGGATAACACGTCGGAATTAGAAAATGGAGAGCAAAATTCCAAGATTTCTCAGTCCTAACTTACCTTCGGCCATATCACGTTGAAAAATCGGTTCCCGTACGATCACCGAAGTTAAGCATCGTTGAACCTAGTCAGTATCGAGAGCTGATAGTGTAACAGACAACGGATCGAAATTAGAAATCAGTGATCCGAGGTCCAATTCCAGTCGATTTCGTTATATTCAATTACGCACAAATATCCTTCGGAAAGGTATAAATTCACGTCTTCTGCTCCTATCTAGCTATAGCTTAATTAGAAGAACTTGTATCAGAAAAATTCATTATTATCCCTGCAAAAATTATTATAGTATGAAAATATGTTCTGGCTTTAAATAACGTGCTAAAGATTGGTAAGCTATAATAAACAAATCATTCAATCAATCAAAAACTTCTATCTAAAAAAAATTGATTCTTGGTTTCATATTTTTGTACAGTTCTTTTTTGTTTTGTTTTGTTTTTTGTTTGTTTGCTTTTTTGCTTTTTTTGCAAATAATAAATCCATTTTCATTTTGAAGTTGTGTGTAGATCCTCGTCTTTTTCTTCTTTCGTAGATTTCAAAATATACACTTGTTCTTGTTAGAGACGATTTTGATTTTATGACGTCATATGTTAAGAAATGGACGAGGTCCGACAATTTATTTATTAAAGACATTTTTTATTTATGTTTAACGTTGTTATTTTATTATATTGTTTATCATAAACAGAGCATTTGCTTAAATACTTGTATCTATAAAATAACAACGTTAAACATAAATAAAATGTCTTTAATAAATAAATTGTCGGACCTCGTCCATTTTTGACGTCATTTGTTCTTATTCGATACGCCAGAGCAGTTATGAATGTACGAGATTCATGGAAGATTGAAATATAAATTCGACCTTGTCTACCATAAGGTTCATGGTGACCGAGTGGTCAATATATATATATATTCCGTATAGGATATATATGTCTATGAACGAATATTTTCTATGAAAATTGTTCAGGCCGGTAAATGTTATTTAATACTGTTTATCATAAACAGAGCATTTGTTCTATAAAATAACAACGTTAAACATAAATAAAAATGTGTGTTTTGTGTGTGTGTTTTGTGTGTGCGTGTGTGTTATTTTGATGAACAATTTAAAACAGAAAGAATATAACGATAAAAAAAAAGTTCTCCCCAAAGTACTCTTCACAAGTCCAACTCTTGTCAATGTCAACGCTTATGAGCTTATATCAAAATACATCTATGATATATAAATATTAACATTACTAAATTCTGGAAAAAAAAAAAAGAAATTATCCTCTGAGAGACCCTGTCAATATGAACATAAGCTACATTTTTTTCCTTGTTTCTTAGGGTACGGACTCTCGTGGCATTCCCGGAATACTCTTGTCATGTTTTATTAACGAAAGACTCCCAAGACATAGTACTTAAAAATAAATACGTAAAAAATAACATGTCAAGTAACAAGCGGAAACTCAGAATGAAAAAGTTGATAAGGTCGTGGCGTTGGCAGAGAAAGCCAACACAAAAAGTAGTAGTATTTTACTCTTCAGTTTTCTTTATCTAACGTATCCCCTCACGGCATAGACGATCATAGCTCTCATTGTATTTTTTAATAAATTTTGTCTTTCTCTTATTTCTCACGATCCCTATTCCGTCATGCATTTACTCAAGCTCACTATCCTCTGTGGCTCAATCGGTTAAGGCACGTCAGGCTATATGACGGTTCCGTATAGGATACAGGTTCGATTCCTGTCGGAGGAGGAATATTTTCTAAGAAATGTTATTAATAGTGTTTATTATAAACAGAGCATTTACTTAAATATTTGTATCTATAAAAAGAATGTATAAACATAAGAATGTTTAAAAGAAAATATGCATATATATATATATATATATATATATATATATATCTTCAATCAGTACTGTGGGCATCAGATTTTCCAAGCCCTCTTTCCTCGTTATGTGCTCCAGAAATTTCAACTGTCTCCTCCTGATGTTAAGTATGTTTCCTTTTCTTTTCCATTTTCTCTAAAACTTCATCGTTGCTCAAACATTCGGTCCATATTATCCTCAGCATCCTTCTGTAGAACCATATTTC